ATAAATAATAATGATAATATGAACTATGTCTATATAATAATCTTTAATCCTGTTTTCGTTTTGTTCTAATGATGATATGRCGAGTTCGGAGTTGGAGGTTTCAGAATGATATTTTTGTCGTTGTTTTCGAGTTAACAAGGGACAAATACCTTCCAGTTAATATATTTTTTCTATTTTAACGAATTCTTCATTACCACTCGTATACGCATAGTTTATCGGTCAATCAGCATGATTCGCGTTTCGAGGGAAATATTTTAAGTTTGATGTCTTCTACGCACGCCACCATAAAAATCATGACTTGTGTATAATTGCACAAAGGTGACCCCATTTTATGTAAGAGAATCAATAACGCATTCCGCTTTATTCGCATTGCATATTATATAAATGATATATTATTCACTGCATATATTATAATCGTACGATTTTAACTCAGGCGGTGTTTAAATAATAATGGGTACAACAATATTATAATTCATTTTTATACCTATACGTTTATGTGATATTCAGTTGAGAGCTGTCATCGTTACGCCCGATCGTATTTAAATGACGACGCCTACGATATTTTAAAAGCTTAGGCATCTGTGACCATCGAGACATTATTTGATCATTAAAATTCAAAACATATATTCTGAAAACTTCCAAAATACTATTTTTTTTTTATTTCTTCGAATATTTATCGGAGAATCCGATTGGTTGCGGTTGTCCGTCGTTTTACAGTGTTTTTTGTTCAACAAATGGATGTACGTTATAAATCAAGAGASWCTAACCGCGCACATAACATAATATTATTGCTTTTGCATCTGTTCGAGAAACAGAAATTGCATCGAGGGGTTATCGCAAACTACAGATTTGTTTGATGATTTATAGGTGTGAACGTGTGGGTGCTCTGACACTAGATTCTGTTTTCCAATCAGTCGTTGGTCCAAAAAATATTTCGCAGTGATATACGATAAACGGCCGGCGTTCAAAAAATATATTTTATCAGACGGAATATTATTATATTATTACTATTCGATCGATGAACGACGGACGATAATTACTATATATATATATATATATATTTTTTTAATTGTACATGATTATACCCTCGGCAACATATGATATTGGGCTTTCTGATATATATTTTATTGTTAAGTAGGAAACATAATAATTTATGATTTTATTTATCTCGGTAATCACCAAAAATCGTCGTGGAATGAATGACGCATCATCGGAACAAAAGTTGTTTTAATTTCGGATCATTTTTGATCGTAGTCGACGATTGACGACGGTGCCGAGTAATCCCATGGGTAGTACGTCGAAATGGATATTATATATTACTATTATTATTATACACACAATGCGTGTGTGCATCGTAATAATAAATTGTATACGCGTATATTCGTTAGTTTGACGTGACGAGGTGTTGGCGGTGCTTTCGACGGAGTTTCACACACACACACAAACACATCAAATATGCATATAATATTATCATATATGCATACAAAAATGTGTGTGTGTGTGTGTATATATATCTATGTGAGTGGGTGTTATATAATATGTATTTTAAATATTATACAATGTGGACGGGAAGGTTTCTATGTATAGGTTTAATAATATTTACCGCAGAAAGCGTTCGGGATAACAATAACTGATATTGGCATCGTTAATATTATCTGTCAGACGACGGCTCTTCGATAAATTAAAACGGTTGTTTCCGTCGTCGGAAGACGTACAGTGGGATTATATCAGCAGTTATTGTTATACAGCTACTCTGGACTTATATCCTATATATATAAGGGTAGTATAACAGTGCTATAATTGAAACAATAGTAATAACATATAATACGCTCCGTCGATTCGTTAGCGTTTAATCTACCTACCTAATTATTAACAACGATCAATAATTACGACAACGATAACTATCAGAGGTTATACGCGTCTCCGGTGCAGATAATAGAAAAACACGCGAATGAAATCCATTGGATAAAAAATTATCAATCGTGTTTACTAAAATGATTTGTTGCATGATACTCACTCGAGTTTTGTCAAAACGAAAAGCAATTTGAGTCCAAAAATATATTTAAAACTTGAACTTGTCGCGAGTCTTTAACAGTYGTGATAATAACTATAACGGTACCCATCATGTTATCGTTATACATTAGGTAAACATTGTTTATAATTATTTACACTGTTTTTCGTGTCATCATTTAATGGTAATTTATATCGTTTGTACTTATGGACAATATGGCCATAGTCGGCCAACATGTTCGTGTCGTATAGACAAACAAATCGTTGGAGCGGTCCTGCTATTACGCTAAAAGTTTCTGCGGRCGTCAACAGTCAGATAAGATTCAATCACCGAAATGGGAAAAATAACAATCTGCAAGTGCGATAGAAAAATAGAAAAATCAATAATAAATTATTATTTTTTTGTTTTTTTATTTATATTAAGCCTCGGCGTCAAAGGCCATTGGCGTTGGTTTACAATAGGTTRCATAYATATACAATTATTTACAGGTTATATACTATTTATAAGCTTGGRCTTAAYTATAAATGTTATCATATTACTAATATTGTAATAAATTATTATATTATTAGATAATAACGTATYTCGTTAAAACGTGGTAAACATATTGACGTATTCTTATACCGAAGTCCAATCATTTTYAGCAATAAATACCAATTCGAAATTGTATATTATTGTCACGGTGCTATCCGTCTGTTTATTATGCATGGTTGATTATAATATTTTCAGGAGTTAATGTTTATAAAGTACAATAATAATAACATTAACTATAGCGAGCAAATTGTGCTCTGTGCCGGCGCCTTGTATATGCAATATTGATACAAGCGTGCGTATAACAGAGTATTGAGTATTSACCAAATCGTTCATTATTAATACACAAGAACAAAATTAGTTACCGTAACTTACGTATATTATGTATGAATAACTACTCAGCTACACAGCGATTCATTTCAGACGAGCAATATGATAAGTAAATTATCCGATTATTTGTTTTTAAACTGGATATCATGTTGATATTTAATGAAATATAATATCATCAATAACTACTACAATAATATTATTTATCTATAATAATACAATGTACCTATTTCCATATTTTATTTAATGTTTGAAACGTAAAAATGGTAAATCAGAAGTGGCCAATATTAAATGCCAATTACTCGACATATAACAAAAAAACCGCAAACAAAAAAGAACAAATAATACAAAGTTGACCTGGCTTTTTATTTTTTTTCAACCGTAATAACAGCATGAATATGATTTCGGAATTTTAAATATCAATGTATTTTTTTATTCATTTAGAATGGCGTTTTATACGGTCAGTAGTTAAATTTATAATTGCATGCACTGCACAATAACAAACAAGTTTAGTTATGAATTATTATTATATGATTTGGTATTAAAAATTAAAGTTATGTTATTCCTTTTTTTTTAACTGATACAACAAATCAATAACAATATTATACGAAAATATTTTGATTAAGAACAAAGATGTCATTAACATAAATTTATAATTGCATGCACTGCACAATAACAAACAAGTTTAGTTATGAATTATTATTATATGATTTGGTATTAAAAATTAAAGTTATGTTATTCCTTTTTTTTWAACTGATACATCATAATCAATTTGTTTATACTATTATTATTACCATTTTTGTTTGAATATTTTTGCTCATTTCGATCTATTTATATACATTTGAAATATATGATTTTTTTAAATTTATGTTAATGACATCTTTGTTCTTAATCAAAATATTTTCGTATAATATTGTTATTGATTTGTTGTAGTTCGAAACATTTTAATCAGCGAGACTTGAAAAATTCAGCTGTGACTAAAATTGTCATTTTCTATACAATAAAAATTTCGTTATAAATATACTTGATAGCCGTAGTTTTTTTATATCGAATGTAAAATATTAAACGCAGGTGGGTTCTTCGAGAATAATTTATTATAATACTTATAAATAAAATACAAAAACTCATTTGAATTTTTTCGTAATGAACCRATMTGTTTCTTAATATAAATCTGTGAATAGCTATAACAACTATAGTCTACTATACTTCAGGTCATTAAGTTTTTTAAATTCTAGTCTGAAAAAACTTTATTTAAAACATTTGTTTGTATTTTTTATTTTGAAAACGTAGTGTTATACCGCTTTGTTAATCATAGTTAAAAATACAAAGGATCGGTTCGAAAAATCAGTTTGTAGAGCAATTCAAACGGATCACCCTGTTCATATCGCATCAGTATAATATTATAATATTTAATAATTTATTATACAGGGTGTCCCGCGAAGATTTACTCATTATGATATCTCCCGAAATAATGGAGATATCGAAATTATGGTTTTTTAAGACTAACAGGGACAAGTACAACAGTTATTTCATATTTTAATTTATTTTAATGTTTTGGTAAAAGAGTTAAAAAATATATTTTTTTATATAATTATTTCCAAAAAAAATCAACTATAGCCATTTTKTAGAGTTTATTTTTCTGAAAATATTGACGTTTCAAAATTGTATTTTCATTAATTTCTTGATTTTAAACTTTTTTTTTAGTTTCGAGAAAAATTGCGAATTATTTAACATCGTAGTGTTATCAAACATGTTACAACGTCACGCCGCGCACATTCTCGTACGGCCGGCCTAACACTACCGGCGTGCCTAGTTATAATCATATTTTATTTCTTCAAAACTAGAAAAAATATTAAAAATCATGAAATTTTGAAACGTCAATATTATCAGAAAAATAAACTCTACAAAACGGTTATAGTCAATTTTGTTGGAAATAATTAAATTAAAAAAATGCATTTTTTAATTTTTTACCAAAACATTTAAATTAAATATAAAAATGAAATAATTGTAGTTCTTATCCCTGCGAGTCTTACAACAAAACCAAAATTTTGATATCTCCATTATTTCGAGAGATATCACAATGGGTAAATGCTCGCGGGACACTCTGTATTCTATTATTAATGTATATATGTACCTTTGTCTTGTGGTAGTGCGAGGACCAACGAGACGAGAAACGAACCGGCCACCAACAGGAGCAGAACGTTGCGGGCGGCTAGCATAGCACACCCAGCTGCAGCTAATCACGCGCACGATGCTGTCGTCCACCCGGCGTCACATCCCAACGCACACGCTGATCGCACCTGAATAGTACAAAAAAAAAAGTTAAATTAATAAATAAACAGAAATCAAAATCGTCCATTACGTCCAATACGATTATTATTTCATGAAATATAGGTATGTAGATCATATAWTGATTAAAAATATTTCGACTACGRCTAATAGTCGCAATACATAATATAGTAAAGCTATATAACGGAGTGCCAACAGCCGAATAAATAATACGACGACGATTAAAATCGAACCACAAAATCATAACTTCTACCCCTTTTCGACGCACCGACACATTGGAAAAATAATACAATTATCGTCGACATTATCGGAATTTATTGTCGATGAAGAGTGAATATTGGATCAAACGGTAAATCAAATACCCGCCATAATTCGAAAGTTAATTGAGATAATAGTAGTAATATTTCGCAAGCAATACTATAATRCGAATTAAGTTTTAATATGAATTCTGACTTTCATTAGATATTGGAGAGTGGATCAAACACAGCGACGTTATACTTATAAAATAATAATACGCTGTTCCCACACGTGTATCTTATTTACCGCA